ATTTGACCCCCGGGAGCCTTCCCGCCCTCACTCTGCCCCCACAGCCCCATCTGGAACCTGTGGACTGCACTGCGACGGCCGGAGCTTCCAGATGGAGGTGCCCTAGGCGGGGCCGCCACTCCTGGCACGCAGCAGCCACACCCAACCCCACCCCAGCAGCACCTCCCTCCAGCAGGCGACTCCGTGAGGCTGACCCTCCCTCACAGGCTGTTGTAAGGAACCGTTTCGGTTATCTGCATGCTGCTGAGCGCCTGGCAGCCAGAAAGTGCCACACACGTTTAAGTAACTGACAGCAGAGCTGCTCAGGGCATGGCGCCCAGGGCTGGCAGACACCCCACGGGGACCTCGTGCTGTCCCCTGGCTCCCCCCTAACGAGGGTCTACTTCGGAGGTCAGAGGGCTTGGCCAGAGAACCAGGAAACTGCGCTGGGGAGGAGCGCACCTCCGCCCCCCGCGGTGACAGGACTGCTGGCGGGGGGAGGGTGGGGGGGGTGGCGGGGGCATTTTCCCTTCAGCCACAGAGAAAACACTCAGCCTTTGTTCCCGGGACCCTGGGGGGCCTCGGGGCACCGCTTCCCCCATCCCGCCGGAAAACCCGCAGGACAGGTATGGGTCTCCCGAGGCCTCGAAACCTGGGAGCCAGCTTTTCTCTCCAAGTGTCTCCCCCGCCCGAGCCACAGGGGCTTGAATCCCACCGACGCACTGGGCCTATGCCTATCTAATTATTATTATTATTATTTTTGAGACGGAGTTTCCTTCTCGTTGTCCATGCTGGAGTGCAATCTCGGCTCACTGCAACCTCTGCTTCCCAGGTTGAAGCAATTCTCCGGCCTCAGCCTCCCAAGTAGCTGGGATTACAGGCACATGCCACCATGCTTGGCTAATTTTGTATTTTTAGTAGAGGTGGGGTTTCTGCATGTTGGTCAGGCTGCTCTTGAACTCCTGACCNGGGCCCTGCTGAGCTGATGGTGGCCAGGGAAGCTGGAGTCAGCTACAGAGGGCAGGGGTGGGGGCAGCTCCCTGTTCCATGCAGCAGGTGCACAGCAAAAGCACAGGGTGTCTACCCCAGAGAGAAAAGAAGGCAGGGCGTCCTTTGGCCCAGCAGGGCAAGGACAAAAAAGCATGGCTCTTCTGAATTCTAAGAGTCTGCGGAGGGACAGGGAGCCTCACACTCCTCCCTGCATGCCAGCTGCAAGGGTCCTAGGACACGGCACACCTTCGATGCTGGCTGAGTCTGGGGAAATAATGCAGTGAAGACAGCAGAGGTCTGCCTCACAGGGCAGAGGGAATGCAGAACGGAACGGGCAGCGCGGGTGCCCGGAGCCAGGACGGTGCCTGAAGAGGCGACCGCTGGGGCAGGGGGCACTGCGCTGTAAAAGCCCGGCTTCTGCTGGGGGCAGGGGCGGCTGGCGCAGCTGTAAGCGAGGGCAGAGACCAGGGAGGAGGCTCCTGCAATTGCCTGCGGTGGAAGGTCGGGGTCGCAGGCCGCTGACAGCGGACTCCAACCCCGCCCTGCGGCTCTCAGCAGGCGGAGGCTCACACCGGTTGGCCTCCGTTTCCGACCTCCCTGCCCCAGTAACTCCAGCTAGAGACTCCGGCACCCCCATGACAACCGGCCCCGGGCTTCCCTCTGCCTGGAAAGCTCACCCTGGGGTCCCCGAACAGGCACCTTCTCTTAATTTGACCCCAGGAAGCCTTCCCGCCCTAACGCTGTCCCCACAGCCCCGTCTGGAACCTGTGACTGCACTGCGACGGGCCGGAGCTTACAGATGGAGGTGCCCTCGGCGGGGCCGCCACTCCTGGCACACAGCAGCCACACCCAACAACCCCACCCCAGCAGCACCTCCCTCCAGCAGGCCACTCCGTGAGGCTGCCCCTGCCTCACAGGCCCTTGTAAGGAACTGTTTCGGTTATCTGCATGCTGCTGAGCGCCTGGCAGCCAGAAAGTGCCACACACGTTTAAGTAACTGACAGCAGAGCTGCTCAGGGCATGGCACTCAGGGCTGGCAGACACCCCACGGGGACCTCGTGCTGTCCCCTGCCCCCCCCACCCCAACGAGGGTCTACTTCGGAGGTCAGAGCCCTTGGCCAGAGAACCAGGAAACTGCGCTGGGGAGGAGCGCACCCCCGCCCCCCGCGGTGACAGAACTGCCGGAGGGTGGGGGGGGGCGGAGGTGGTGGGGGAAGCATTGTCCCTTCAGCCACAGAGCAAACAATCAGCCTTTGTTCCCGGGACTCTGGGGGTCCTCGGGGCACCTCTTCCCCCACCCGGCCGGAAAACGCGCAGGACAGGTTTGGGTCTCCCGAGGCCT